TGTAACATCTATCATTTTTCTCTATATTGTATCTATCTATCTATCATCTATCTATCTATCTATCTATCTATCTATCTATCTATCTATCTATCTATCTATGTCTCTGTCTATCTGTCTGTTTGTCTGGCTATCTATCTATCTATCTATCATCTATCTATCTATGTCGATGTCTGTCTGTCTGTTTGTCTGGCTATTTATCTATCTATCTATCTATCTATCTATATCTATCTATCTATCTATCTATCTATCTATCTATCTATCTATCTATCTATCTATCTATCATCGCCTCTCTCCCTCTTTCATCTATCACCTATCATTTATCTACACCAGGGGTAGTCAACCTATTTATACCGACTGCCCACTTTTCTATCTCTGTTAGTAGTAAAATGTTCTAACCACCCACCGGTTCCACAGAAATGGTGATTTATAAAGTAGGGAAGTAACTTTACTTTATAAAATTTATAAAGCAAGAGTTACAGCAAACCCCCCACCGCCCGCCATGAAAGCTGGAATGCCCACTAGTGGGCGCTAGGGACCAGGTTGACTCCCACTGATCTACACAATATCACACATCTTCCATAATCTTATATCTATCTCTGCACCTATGTAACATTATCAATCTATCATATATCATCTATCTATCTATCATCTATCTATCTTTTGTCTAGCTATCTGTCTAGCTAGCTTATGTGTCCGTTCATCCATATAGACAGCTGTCTATCTATCTTTCTACAGTTCTACTATTATCTTCCTCCCTCCCTCCCTCCCTCCCTCCCTCTCTCTCTCTCTCTCTTTCTGATTTATATATTGATCATGTCACTGTTTGGGGCAATTCTAGGTGGCTTCCAATATAATAAAAATAGAGAGAGTGATATTTTCATCCATTTCATCCTTTTCTAGTAACTCTTTTTCTATTCCCGGGACTTCCCAAGATCAGCCAGGAGGGTCCCAACCCGTTTTCCCATCACAGCAGCTCCCTGGTGGGCGAATGGGTGGGAGGGAGGGAACTGGGGCTCCTGCACCCAGAAGAGAATGAGAGGCAGCTAAGACCCCTTTTTAATTGGGGGCTGTTATAAATCAGGAAAGGGAATGAAATGCAAACGCCCAGCGGTCTCCGGTCCACGTTTTAATCATCGTTCTTTGGTTATGACTTAATGGCGAGAAGAAAAGATATTACCAGCCTGTCTTTGCCTTCGCCCTGAAACCTCACAGCCTGTGATTATCGGGATGGCAAATTTGCATTTCCACTCTGCCTCCAGGAGGGCCTTGATCAGGGGAGGGGGCTTGTTTGGCTAATTATATTGTGTCAATAGAGAGCTCCTGTCTTCCTTATTACAGTAATTTCCTCCCCAGAATGGGCGAGCCTTTCTCCTCCGTCCCCCCCTCCCTCCCCCCCCACTTCTGCTCTTGATGCGGCTTCTCTGCCTCCCCAATTTCTCCATTAATTTTGGAAGGATGCGAAGATCTGCAGCAGTCCTGAGCGACGCTCACCGGCCGCTTGCGCCCTCTGGTGGCCCAATGGGGAACGACAGAGGCTCACTGGGGGACCCACTTTTGCGTAAAAGCTTTGAAGAAGAGAGTCTGGAACACACAAACACACACACACACACACACAGACAAACACAGAAACATAGGAACACACACACACACACACACACACACACAAACACTTACAGAGAGAAACTATCACACCCACAATCACACCCACACCCACACCCACCACACAGAGAGACATACAAAAAACACACAAATATACATGCACACAATACACACACACACATACACAAACACAAAGGCATAATCACAGACACAGACACATATATACACAAACAACATACACACAGCTACACAACTCACACACACACACAAGCACACACAAACACACACATGCACAATACACACATATATACATACACAAACACACAGACATAATCACAGACACAGACACATATACACACAAGCATGCACACACCTACAAAACTCACACACAAACACACAGACACACACAAGCACACACAAACATACACAAACACAGACACACACATCCGGGAACAACAGACACACAGACACACACAGACAAACACAGAAACATAGAAACACACACACACACACAAACACTTACAGAGAGAAACTATCACACACACAATCACACACACACCACACAGAGAGAAATACAAAACACACACAAATATACACACAGACACATACACATACACACATACACAATACACACATACATACATACACAAACACAGAGACATAATCACAGACACAGATACACACAAACATAACATACACACACCTACACAACTCACACACAGACACACAAGGACACACAAACACAGACACACACATCCCAGAAACAACAGACACACAGACACACACGCACACGTCTTGCTGACCCTGTCCTTTGTATGCTCCCTTGAAGGAATTACAGTTTACCCAGGAAGTCCTCCACTTACAACTGCAGCTGAGACCCGATTTTCCACTACGAAGGCAAGCGGTCGTTAAGCGAGTCGCGTCCGATTTTGTAACCTGGTCGGGGAGGGCTGTGAAAGGAATCCCTGCCGTCGTTAAGCGCACTCCGACTTTCTTCATTGACTTGGCCTGTGGGAAGCCGGCTGGCTGGGAAGGTCAAAAGGGGTCATCGAGTGACACCCCTCTTCCCCCCCCCCCCGGACATTTTCAAGTCCATGCCAGTTGCTGAGCCTCTGAGGATGCTGCAACGGTCCTCAGGGGGTTGAGAACTGGTCTTAAGTGTTAGGTAAGCTCCCCGTTGGGAGAGCGAGTGCGTTCAGAGAAGCGTTGTGAGAGTTGTGTTGGAGAACACACAAACCAGCACCCAGAGACACTGCAGTTTAAATAGGCTTTTACT